CTCAGAAAGCTAAAAATACCTTGACATAGAAAATCAAATTCTCCATGGCAACAAAATTGTTATGCTAGATACACACAAACTCAACTTACACAGACAAGATTCTCAAAAATGCACTGAGTAAAGAATAATGATTGAAAATTCAAGAAACAAATAGTGTAATTGTTTGCAAAGCTGTGTTTGGAAGGATAAAAACAGATGAGAGGAAAAAATAGAAACTTCTTCTTTCAGGAGGTCAAATTCTTCTGTCCCTATTTGGCTTTTAATCAGCTAAAGTTACTTAAAATCTTCCCCTTACTCTCAAGTGGGTCTAACCCACAACTCACTGTTTCATGTTATACCACCAACCCCGCATTTCCTGCTCATAGGAAGTGCTTCTGGAAACCCAACTGACTTTAATGTATAGATCAAAAGCTTTCAGGCAACAAAACAAATCACATTTGGCAAAGTCAGATCCCTCCTAAACCACAATTACACAGATTAACTTGGCAACCTAAGTTAATGGTGATCTGACCCCTCTTTTAATGCATTTTGTCTTTTTTTTTTCAAAAGTAATTAGTTTTCTTACTGGTTTTTCATTGCTTTGTGTGTGGATGAAATTGGTATTGAGGAGTGTGCAACAGAGAGAACAAAAAGTCCATTTCGCAAATCCCTTCCATAGATGAGATAGCAATGTGGAAACTATTGTACTGGGCTTTAACCATCTAATCCCCTTCCTCATTCTGTGAAATCTCCAGTTTTTGGTTTGCTACAGCACCAAATCAGGTTAAAGTCTGTTCCCAAGGGCGTGTTTTTTTTTCTGCTGTTGTTATTTTCTTCCCAGAAAGATCCATTTGTCTTTAACAACACTCATTAGACAAGCCTTAGTCAGAATCTGAGAGCTCCTTAGCACAGCTTTCCTTAATTCTTCAAGTTTTGAATTGATCACTACTTCTGACATGACAAGTTTACTAACTCTGTACCTTTTTTTCCTGGGCATAGGTCAGGAAAGAGTAGAAGGCTATAGAAAATGCTGGAATATATGAATGAATTATGTTAAGAGAAAAAAAAGAAACCCTAAAACTTGAAAATCAAAGAGAAAATAGTATGTATTTTCAAAATCATCCTGAGACAATTTTTACAGGTGTATGTAATCGTTACTTAATTCTCCAGGAGAATGATCCTGATATTTGCTCTTTTTATTCACTGGAAGAGTAGACATTATATACTGTGACACTACACACTAGCTTACAAATATTGGTCCAATAAAGTTAATAAAAATCCCATATTTTATTACCCTGTAGTGCAATAATTCATTTTGTATCTAACTAGAAATTTTATTAAAATATCATTTTCTTTATTCTCTGAGCCAGGGCAAATTTTACTTATAAAATTGAGATAAGAGGGGCCGCAGAGATAGTACAGCAGGTAAAGTGCTTACTTTGTACATGGCTATCCCGGGTTCAATCCCTGGCAGCCCACATGGTCCCCTGAGGACTGCTAGGAGTCATTTCTGAGTGCAAAGCCAGGAGTAACCCCTGAGCATATCAAGTTGTGACCCAAAACCAAAGCAAACCAATACAAACACCACCACCAACAAAAACTGATGTAAGTATAATATTACCATTATGGCAGTTGTCAAGGTAGAATTCATATGTCTTAAAGGTTTATAGCAGTGAAGTTTCATATTAAGTATTGATTATATTGCTGCTATGTTTTTTATTTGGATATTGATAGGCAAATCTGATTACAGGAGAATGTTAAACTTCAATGGTGCAAAATCATAGTCTAAGGGAGGAGACAAGTCAGATGACAATATCAAATTCTAATAATTTAGCATTTTTATTATGAATTTGTTTAAAACAGTGTTTTCCAACAGTTTCTGACCATGGACCCTTTTCATCCTTGGTTTTTGTTTGTTTCTTTGTTTGGGGGATACACCGAGTCATGCTGAATAGTTAGTCCTGGCCCTGGGCTAAGACATCACTCCTGGCTTTGAGGGGGATGATATGTGATTTGGGATGCTTCAGAAAGAACCCAGTTTGGCCGCATGGAAGGCAAGCTCCCTACCCACTATGCTATCACTCTCGACCCTTCAACCTTTTTTTTTTCTGTGTGGTCCAGACTTGTTCCTCATAACAGGGACTGTCCCCTCCCACCCCGATCCCCTCATTTATATTTTTACCTCTAGCCCCTTGGACTATCCTAAGGGTTCACAGAGTGCATAGTTAGGAAACAATGGTTTTAAACAGTCCATGGGTAATTCAAACATAAATAGATTGATATAGTTATATATCTACAGATATAGTTGTATCTATATATCTATCTATATAATCTACATTTCAAATTATATGGTCCAATTTGTCTTTTGGGGGTGTCTGATGTCTTTCCTTTAATGAATAAAAGGGAAGTATTAAAGAAAAGTGTGAAAATTAAGTATTCACTTGACAGTTATCTCTTTTAGGGTATATAAGGCATTAGACAGGACATTTGTCTGTTTTCAAGAAAAAAATTATGCATAAATTCTCAAAGTAAATAACCATAATAATTTTTTTACTTTTTATATTTGTGAATCCACTTATGATAAAATGTTTTCTTGTGTATTTGTGACTAATATAAAATATGTGTGTATATATATATATCTATGTATGCACATACTCTATTACCTATGAGCATAGATATATACTACATCTTTATACATATGATTGTGACTTATATACCAAAAAACAAGTAACTTCCCCTATGCAACTTAATATTTTAATACATAGCAACTATATTATGAATCTATAGGTGAGAGAAAAAATAGCAGTGGAATCACTAATAATGAATGCCATTTTTTAATTATATAACTACTGCATTCACTTCATAAAATATACTTACAACCTATTCCTATTTATACCAATTATATAGCAGGTTTCTAGCACAAAGCTGTGAACGTAGTAGGGATTTAATAAATATTAATAGGGGATTTGGAATTCATTGTTATTCATGAATTTGCTCAAGTTACTGATTTTCCATGGTTGTTGGATTTTAGAATCACTTGGAAAGCATGTATTTAGATACCATAACAATATTCTTGCTTTGGTTCTATTTCAAATAGTTCATAATACCTGGAAGATGGACTTGAGTATTGCTACTTATATGATTCTCTAGTCATTCAAATGCCTGAGAAGAACCAGTAATCTCAGTGGACAGAGAGGGAGGGTTAAGGCTGTTGCCTTGCATGTGGCTGATTTCATTTAGAATTCCCAACACTGCAAATGGTTCCCTAGCACCAAGAATAATCCTTCAGCACAGAGCCAGGAGTCTTCCCTGAGCATCACCAGGGTGTGGTCCCCAAATAACAGAAGCAAAATACACAAACAAAACACCCAGAAAGCTAGTTTTTACAGTTTAATTTCCCCTGAGGGCAAGAATTGTGCCCATAAAGCAGAGATTGTAGCCCTTCTAGAGGACTTTGAAAGAGGCCAGTACTTTCCAACTCTATGACCGCATTTCTGTCTGAGTTTCTTGATTAAGACTGTATTTAGAAGAAGGAAGAGAAGTCACCCTCACTTATGCTGCCCTTGTGCTCTGGCTAGATTCCCAAAATGAGCAAGAGTAACTACATTAAGTGTAAGTAGAGACATCTGCGCTCTGTCACTATTGGTCCATTAGGAGAAAGTTTGTCTGTGATCAGAAATAGTCTAGAAACTTCAGAGGACACACTGGGCACTAATGAATTTCTGCCTCATGCAATGGAGCAAGACTGAGAGAGAGAGAAAAAAAAACTGGTTGTTTGTCTTCTTGTAGAACACATTAAACTTTGGCAGCTTGCATGCGGGGATTGTTTGTGTACTTTGCAGAGAAAGAACCAAAGTTGGGAGCAGGTGATATTGAGGTACTAATACCAACAGAGCTACTGGCCAAATATCAGAATCAGCTTTAGAACTTTGGCTGATGAGTAGAGAGTTGTTACTATTCTGATTCTAGGTTTTTGGCTATATTATTTTTTTCCTTTTGGATAATAGTTTTACTCCTTTCTCAAAAAAATCATGCAGTTTTCTAACTTTTAAATTATTAATCCCACTGTAATAGAAACAACTATAAAATGTAATATGAGCAAGCAACAGATATATATGTGATTTGTAATTTATTATTATAAATATTATTATGTATATTATATATCTGTAGTCTCACTACAGATATTTAAACTTTAAATAATTCTGCAACTTTATAAAAAATGTCAATCAAGACAATAACTACCTAGAACTTATCCCAGAGTCAAATATAATTTGATATTGGAAAACTCACTAAAGTGATTCTATAGTGTTCCGGTACAAATTTCCAATGTGTGGACGGAGTGCTTCCCCATACCTGCAACTATCATTCTCTACCTAATAATATCAGCTCAACTACATACTTTCTACCCGGAAGCAGCACCAGATTGTAGTCACTCACACAAGACTGATCCCCCTTACCTCTTCAGATGCAAGTCACAAGCTTTTCACATAACAACTGCAGATTGCAGATCCTAAAAGTCTGCTGCTTAGGTTTCAGACACCAGTTTTAAGGTCATGTTAATGATTATAGTTTTGGTTCACTGACTGTAAATCAGAACTTTATGTGACCCCTTTATTTGCTTTGTTTGTTCCACAGGAAGGACTTAGAAACCCCAATAAACAGTTGCTTACTCTATTACTGATTTATTACTGTCCTCCCGTTGTTCATCGATTTGTTCGAGTGGGCCCAGTAACGTCTTCGTTTTGAGACTTGTTGTTACTGTGTTTGGCATATTGAATAGGAACAGGTACAAGCGAGATACTCTCCGTAGCTTGCTGGGCTCTCCGAGAGGGGCGGAGGAATCGAACCTGGATGGGCCAGGCTGGCCGCATACCAGGCAAACGCCCTACCACTATGCTATTACTGGTTTATTTCATTGCATTTAACTCTACTTTTCCTTTCCTTAACACATCTTTCAATATGATCCCATAGCATAGATATGACTCAACACTTGTTTTTAGTGGTTCAATATTTCTACTCACCAACTCTTCGGTTGAGTTGAGCTGGACTGTGAGTCCCAGCATGATCTGAGGAACTGGAAAAAGCCGTTGGAGAGAGTAGAGATGCTAATGGATCATCACAGTTATCTGAAACATAGAGAAAGAAAGAGCAATTCATATTAGCAAACATATTCCATATAGAAATTATAGCATTAATATCCATCATGAATTATCTGTCTTATTCTAACAATACTCTTTCTTCCATGTGCTATTTCATAATTTCACTCCCAGTTGAAGAAACTGAAGTTCAGAGTTGTTAAATCACTTGACAAGAGCACAACACTAGAAAAGAATATATTAAGAATTCTTGTCCAGATTTATCTAACTGAAGCGATAGCACAGCATTAGGGCATTTGTCTTGCATGCAGCTGACCTGGGTGACCCGGGTTCAATTCCTATGCCCTTCTCAGAGAGCTCAGCAAGCTACCGAGAGTATCTCAGTCACACAGCAAAGCCTGGCAAGCTACTTATGATTTATTCGATATGCCAAACACAGAAACAGCAAGTCTCACAATGGAGACGTTACTGGGCCCGCTCAAGCAAATCAATGAACAACAGGAGGACAGTGGACAGTGGAAAAGTTTTACTACATAGTCATTCCTTTAATTTAGTAAAGTTCCAAATTATAACTCTAAAACTTGTTTTTTTTTTAATGAGACTATTAAAGGAGAAGACTATACATTTAATCAAGTATACATTTTGTCTTTAATTCCTAACCATTCTTACATAAGTCAAACCTGGAGGCATAGACAAATTCAGAATTCCATTCACTTCCAATCTTTGAGGAATTAGTTACTAACTCTAGCAATTCATTCCTGTTCTATAAAATAATGAGAATTATCTAATTTCATATGACTTTGAATATTATGTCAATTACATTAGCTGCCCTCAAATCTCTTGAGGCATGATATATTTTCTAAGGTTTCCTTGATGCTGTGCAAATTTAAACAAGATGTGATCATAAACAGACTTTGATCTTGACAATATAGCTACATGCCTCCAGACTGCCACTGAAGCCCTGGCCATCTAATTTTATACAGAAGACCCTGCATTTCACCTAGAAAATTGATTGCTTAAATGTTTTGTTTTGTTTTGTTTTGTTTTGTTTTTGCTTTTTGGGTCACACCTGGCGATGCACAGGGGTTACTCCTGGCTCTACACTCAGGAGTTACTACTGGCGGTGCTCAGGGGACCATATGGGATGCTGGGAATTGAATCCAGGTCGGACGCATGCAAGGCAAACACCCTACCTGCTGTGCCATCTCTCCAGCCCCGCCGAAATGTTTTTTAATTGATTCATTTATATAATTTGTTTCTTCTTCTCATGAATCAGTTTTATGGGGGGACCATAATAAATAACCTGGTAGATAAAAAGTTATTAATAAAAACTTATTAAAGGAATCTGTTAGGAAATAGAAGAAGGAAGACAGGTAAACAGAAATGAAAGAATAAATCTATATGAAATTACCAATATTTCTTCTTATTTTTCTATTTTATACACAATCTTGCATAATATATGGCCAGCTGATTTTATCATGTCTAGACATAATTCTTTCAAAACAAAATTGAAAAGTGTAATTCAAGTTTGAAAACAAATTTTATTTATGAGAGACAGTCAGGAAGATTTGATTTTAAAAGAAAATGTACATTGGAATACAATGCTGCTTGTTTATCCAGAAAACTCTTAGAGAATAATATTTCAACTAATTTCAGAAAAACTAATGAGAAACATAAGGATTAAATTTTTGTTTGTTAAATGTGCTAAAGAAAAATCTGGCAAAACATATTTAGAGATATTTTCCCAAAAAAACAAATGTTTGAAAAATATTTTGAGGTATTTGACAAACACATAGCATAGCCAGATCCTCGGTGAAAAGGAATAAAATTAAAATCACAGGAAGGACACATTGGCAGTTTTGGTCATTCCAAAAATAGAAAGTAGAGCTCAGGACACTTTATTCTTGGCAAAAGATACAGATGAGAAGAGATGCTATACACTCTAAGCATTTGTTTGGCAATATAAATAATGTTATTTATATATTAGGAAGCAACTTGAACATAATATAGATATCTGTTTGTTCCTGTCTGTTTTATCACAAAGAATTATCGAGTGGATGGGAAAAACTGAAGCTGACTAAAGTGAACCCACAGGAATGTGTGCTATACAAATATATGCACACATCAAACATCACACTATATCACACTTCACAGCTGTGTTATGAGTTCCTCATATCCACATCTGTAGTGATACTTATCCTCCAAATTCTTCTAATACCACTTCCCAATAATTCAAACTCTTTCTTAAAAATAAATCTACAAGCCGAAGTCTTTTAAAGGGCAAAGGACCATTTTTTAATAATATTTCTGCACTTAAAAAAAGATATGCGGCCAGTCATTACTGATTGATGTTGATATGCTCATTTAATAGGTCACTAATGAAATGTTTGAATGTTACAACTATAGTACTTATTTTGTATAAGCAGAAATAAAAGTGGTCTAATTGTTTGAATTTAATTCAATCCAATAAATATTTATAAGATTCTGATGCTTGACCTTGGAAATGCGTTAGACGTAGCCGTGAGTAAAATTTGTTCTCAGATTTCTTTAAGTTTAGAGCCCACTGAAAGATGTAAGTATGCAAGCAATGAATAAATTGATGGGAAAGCTAAGGCGTTTGATTCAGATCCACATAAATGGGACTTCATCACCAAGATAGCATAAAAGTGACTTTCCCATCTTCTTTAGTCCTAGTCAGTGCCTCATTCAGGAACTGCTGACTTCATGTACTGTCTTTTTTCCCCAGTATCTATTTTATCTTCCAAAATGCACCGTTCCTGTACAGTTTTCCCTTACTACCTGAGGATAGAAAATTCCATATTTCTATTCTAAAATAGGAAAAGTGAATTTATCTTGTCATTGCTTTATATTTTAAAAATTTTGAATGTGCTCCCAAACAGTGCTTACAGAGTTCAGGGACCGTTAGTATCTGTACTCAGCCAATAAGGCTAAACAGTTCAATTATAGGCTCTGGTGTTGCTTACAGGCAATGTGTCACTGGAGATCAAACATGTGTGCTTATGTTGGAAACATAACCTTTGAGCTGTATACCCAATACAATGAAAATTCGGGGGTAGCTGAGGAATAGTCTCTAGGGGTTAAGTCACTTTCTTTGAATGCAGCTGACAGCAGATTAACTCCAGGCACTGTAAATGGTTTCCAGCAAACTGCCAAGAATGATTCGTGATCAGTGAGCCAAGAGTAAGTAAGTCCTGATAATAGTCAGATGTGCACCTCCTCTAATTATAATTTTTTAGTATTGAGACATTCAAAATAGCCTATAACTCAGATTTAATAACACTTATATCCTCAACTAAACTGAGAATATAGTAAAAGCAGGAATGATATGATAAATACACATACTTTACTAGAAAGAACTTGGCAGTGTCACTCTAGCACCTAGGATGTTAACTGCTTCTGACAGCTTCCGAGAAACTAATATTGAAGCTATTTTCCTTTATATTATTTATGACTTTTATTTTTATTGGTCAGTGGAATCAGTAATATACATTATTTTTACTGTCACTGTCACTGTCCTCCCATTGTTCATTTATTTGCTTGAGCAGGCTCAGTAATGTCTTCATTTTGAGACTTGTTACTGTGTTTGGCATACTGAATACATCATGGGTAGCTTGCCAGGCTTTGCCATGCTGGCGAGATAGTCTCTGTAGCTTCCGGGCTCTCCGAGAGGGGTGGAGGAATCAAACCTGGCTCTGCTGCGTGCAAAGCAAACGCCCTACCACTGTGCTATCGCTCAAAAATAAATTGCTTGGGGCCTAAAGAGGTAATATGGTGCTTAAAACACTTGCACTGCAAGTGGTCAATTCAAGTTTGTCCACCAGTACACTAAAATGTCCCCAGAGTCCAGAGATAGGAGTAAGCCCTGGTCACAGCCTGGTGTGGTTCCATAACTAAAACGAAAGTGGAAAAAACGAAGTATATAACAAAAAATTTCAAAATATCAGGGAATAGTTGTACCGCAATTTGCTGTTACATTTTAAGAATTAGGGAATAAATTGAAAACCCTTGCAAATAGAAAGGCAAAAAGTTTTTTAGGAATTTTGGAATAAACTCTAAACCTAAAAGATAATTCTATCTGATAGAACAAAAGGGAGTGCCCTGCCACAGAGGCAGGGTGGGATGGGAGATGGGGGGTAGGAGATATACTGGGACTGGTGGTGGGATGGGTACTCGATCATTGTATACATGAAACCCAAGCACAACAACTTGTAAGTCTACAACTGTACCTCATGGTGTTTCACTAATAAAACAAAAAACAAAAAACAAACAACCCTACCCCAAAAAAAAAAACCTCATTCTATCTTTAGACATATACTACATTCCAATAACAATGAATATATAATCTAGCACATAATGGTCATTGTTTTATATGTGAATGAAGGTGTGTGTGTGTGTGTGTGTGTGTGTGTGTGTGTGTGTGTGTGTGGCTTTGGAGTCATACCCTGCTGAACTCATGACTTACTCCTGGCTCGGCTCTGGGATCACTACCTCTCCTGTTAGCAATTACAGATGCCAGGGATCAAACCCAGGTCAGCCACACATAATCCAAGCACCTTATCCACTGTACTATTTCTCTGGTTCTGCTTAAGAACATAGAAAAAAAAATCATAGGAATTAGAAAGATGGTGCATGGATTTAAGTGCACTTCTTGCATGCAGCTGCACTAGTTCTATTTTCTGTACCACATGGTCATCAAAACATTGGTAGGTGTGACCTTAGAGGTTCATGAGCATCTCTGGGTTCGCCCAAAGAGGACGTGTGTACCAGCAGGGTGCCTAAATAATCCCCACACTTTAGAGTCTAAGTATACTCTAATCCACAAGTTGAACCAATAGCTCAGTTGGCCACTCATTTGAAGTACCACTTGAGAGGCCCCATAATACAAAACAAATTCAAGCATTCCAATCTGTGACATATGTGCAGCAGAAAAGTGTCAAAAGAGGTAGAGCTCAAAGATACCCTGTTCAGACTTGATTCTTCTCTGGTTTAGGATTATTTTGATAAAACTT